GGAGAGACGAGGTTAAATAATGAATAATAAGCAGCTGAGAGGGGAGAGGTCTGGCGTCAGAGAGGGACAGGAAGCAACACTGAAAGAATGCAGATCGGTATCAGTTCAGACGCCCTAAAAGGCAAGGATTTGTTTTATCTTTGTTTTTTGAAGACCCAGTTTCTATCCGACCAAATTGTCAACTTCTCTTGACTTTCTAAGTCACATTAAACAACTTTGTAGATGAAAATATTTAAAAGTTTTGGGGTGATGAAACATTTCTTTCCTAAGGGGAAGCATTGAAAAAAAAAATCCATTTTTTATGATCACAAAACATGTATTTCCTTAATTTCTGCAATATTAGGAAAGAAAAGTGTGTTTTTTTTTGTCTTATTTTTGGCCGTCGTTTCAGTTTTCTTTTCTTATTCAACACAGCAAAAGAAAAAGGCTTTTAAGTTATTTTTTCTTGTCCTTTTTCTCTCACTCTCTCACTCAGTGGCACGGACTGAGCTCACGGAAACAAACATTTCCTGACATCTCAAATTTTCTCCAGGTATTTTTTGCGACGCCTTTTCCTCCCACAAAAAGGCTGGCGTGAAGATTAATTAGCTGTTTATATAATGAAGTCTGGCTCTAAAATACGTATTGGGATTTTTTTGGCAAGAATGAGATCTTAAAGAAACAAACAAAAAAAACGTGAAGCAAACCTAATCGTGAAGGGTTTTCCCGCGAGACAGTGAAGTGAGGAAGGGCCGACATGAGGCTGCAGTGATTTCTGAGACTAAACTAAAACATGGATTTGAGCCTTGAAATTTCTCCGAATGGTTATTGATTGACTCCTGATTAAAATATTGTTCGCAGTAGACGTTACAATGCCACAAAGAAAATTACACAGAGGTTACTGTGAATAGCACAGAGGCTGACCTTTAATAAGCACGGCATGCAGTTCAAGTTCATTTCTGCGACTTCTGCTCTACTCGTCCTCGTCTCTCAGATCTGCGGGAACAAACTGAGACGTTTTTATCCAAGCCCGGTTCACAACACTTACATTTAAGTTCAGTTAATGAAAAAAACACGCTACTTCCTGCTCGCAAACACACATAATAATAGCGGCCCTCCTGTGTTGACTGCTCCAGCCTCCTTGTGTTCCTGAACTGGTTTTGTCTTTTGCCTCGGCTCGGTTTCCCCCTCTTCCAGACGACTGTTTATATTTTAATGCAGACATATTTGGAAGAGATGCTCATAATCAAGATAAGAGATGACGCAGACGCACCTTCTTGTCTGTGCAAGACAAACTGCTGAGAGATGGTTCTTGCATTGCAGGAGAGCAACGTTTTCCCTCAATATTTCAGGACACGACTTAAATCTCATCTAATCTCTCTTGGGAAACATTAGATAACCACAACATGCTTATGGGTATAGCAGAAAATGTGTGTTTATGTTCACACTTTGTAGCCTAGCCAGTAAAAGCCGAGGAGAATTTGTGACTTAAAGCAGAAAACTCGTTAACAAACACCTAATTCTGCTCGTTTACATGGAATGGGGCAATTTAGCTCAGTGCGTTGCAGGGATAACCCACGGGAGACTCGTCTGAAGTCGTCTTTATGAGGATCTTCGAGTCAGCGAGGAGATGTTGGAAAATTAGATCCAGCTTCATCATATTCGCTCAAGTGAGACAGCTTTTATTGCACCATGAAGTGTCTCGTTGGCCCCGGCGCAACTAAAGCCTGACAAAAGCAACACACAGACTGTTAGACTTAATCAGATTTTTAACAAACCTTTTGCCACCTGCAACCTGTTGGGAAGATTTGAAAGTCACAGAGAAGTGTGCAGCAGGAAAGCGTGCATAAATGATCTCGGCAGTGGAAGGGACTGATGCGGTTTCATATCAGATCATTAGATGTTAGAATCTCTATTAATGTTAATCTGGTGTTTTCGCAGCATGAATGCTTCTGAGTACTCTGCTGGCATTAGCACAGAAGAAGAAGAAAACAATCCCCTGCAGTGATGACAGTGAGTAAAAATGAATAATGGGACAGTTTGGGAAATTCAACAAAGTTCTTAATGTCTTAATGACATCGAGCGGAGAAGAGGAAATGAAACCTCCGTTATGAGAATCGCAGCGGTCTTTTCATGGAGAAGCTGGATTGTAGAAACAAGATTATGCATTTTCTTTTTGTCACTGTTATGTATTTCACATCATTTAATTGCTGTTGGCAAATGCAGACATGAGTTTTTTTAATGTCTTAAGGGACTAAAGATATCCAAGCCAACTTGACCCCAGGAGGGGAAAGTAATTGTAGATGAATTTCAACAGCGACAACCAGACATGTTTGCTGCTAAACTTTCAGCTGTAGGAAATCACTCAAACAGAACCTGTTGTATGTTTCATACACACACACACAAAAGAAAAAAAGAATATTCTGTGCTACGACTTACTCCATCCAGTAAGATGAGAACAAAATGTAACATTTCAGGCGACATGAAAAATGTCTGAAAACGAATACTATAAATCACCCTGAAAACATATCTACTTTGTGTTTGTTTATCTAATTAACAAATGCATAGAAATTAGAAGTTACAAAATACTTTAGATCTGTTTTTTTAGGATCTGCATAAGCAGAGAATCAAAAAAGGATGTTTGCCAGAAGCAAAAACCATGTAGACCGAATTAATTTAGGTGCATTTCAAAGCCAGAGTTGAGTAAATATTATTTGGATTTGTAAAGGTTTCATCATTTGAATGATTATCTCACGGTGCTCTTTTCGTTTTTTAAATTTGTGGAGCAAATACGGCCTGATTAAATGTCAGACGCACCTCGTCAAACATTCAAAAGTCTCAAGCTGAGACAACTTGAACTTCTCGATCCTCTTTCATCCGAGCAACTGCGTTTTATTCAGTTTCAGATTTTTGAAAGCATTTCCTAAATCCACCTCCCAATCTGTCTCAAACTGCTGGTTGGTATTTCAGCGGGGCTGTTATTAATCATTTTTGTCCTTGTGTTTGCGCCTGAAGCTGTTAAGCGATAAACATCTTATACGTCTTTCCTGACAAGAGGTCTAAACTTCTATAACTCTGTTGTCTGTCTGTGTTATGTCTTCTCCTCCGAGGTAATGGATGCTCAGCGTTTGTTCCAAGTTTTCTCGTTATTGACCGGAGGAATATTTTAGTCAAATCCTGTAAAAAGGAGAGTTATTTAAGGCCCGGGTCACAGAGTGCCGTCTGCATTTTGCGCACGTCTCTGTCAACACAGGAGAAAATGGACCGAACCTTTTAGCACCGCTCTCATTGATTCCTTCTGCTTCTTTTAAAAATGTGTGTTTAATTTAACCACTGCTGCCGCTTTGTTTCCATGTCTTTCAGGAGCTCCATTTTGAGAAAAAAAAAATTTTAAATTTGTAGTAGCGTAAAATATGAAGATATGCCCAAGATTCATTGGTGGTTTACATTTCAGACATTTATGCAAATAAAAGATGCACCAAAATGTGTACACGATCCCTTCTAAGTAGTCTGGGGGAAGACATTTATTTGTCATGCTTTAAAAGTGTCTGAGCAGTGCAATAAACCGAGCCTCGAACTGCTGCTATTTGACGTAAAACATCTACATTTTTCATAGTATTATCCAGTTAATCATATCTGGGATCACAAACATAACATGGTGCACTTCACAGTTTATTCAGTTTCCTCGTAAAATTATAAAAATAAAACAAGACATGAAATAAATTCAGATTTTATTGGAGCAGCAGAATCTCAGATAATAAAATGAACCCTAGGAGGAACCGAACGTTGAAAATAAGTCATTTTTTCTTAAACAAAATCACCTGCGCTGCTTTTGTTCTCTCCTAAAATCCATCCACAAGTAATGCATCTGACCTAGTTTGAATTTATGCTTAACTTAAAAGGTTGATCAGCTTTTAAGTGACTCAAGCACAAAGCTTACAGTTTGTTTTCAAGATCCAGCAGCTTGATTCAGAGACACTGAAATGCTTTGCCGTAATTTTAAATAGTTGGAGTCAGTCTTATATATATTATTTAATCATTTCATATTGGTAGTTCACGTTTTGCTGTTTATTTTAACAACGGCACAACATCACAATGTTGCAGCTAGCACAATGCGATGCTAACTTGAATAACCGGTATTTACTGAGATTTCTTTTTCTCGGGGTAAACATACAAAATGTCAGTTTAGTCGAGGTTATTAGTTGTTTTTTTTAACTCCTCGGTTGTCCGTGTTCATTTTTACCCTGCTGTCTCTAGTCTGTGCTTTGATCTCGCTTTAAATCCACACCTAAATGGATCATTTAAGAGTAAAAGTCCCCTGGTAGAGCTCGAACTGAATATTAAACCCACTAAGCTCTTATTTTTCCAGTACAACCCTGAAAAGGCTTCATCTCTGACATATGACAGCACATCATAGTTCACATCCTGCAGCGCTGTACACGCATTGGCGCTTGTATAGAATCCAATTAGTTCATCTTTTATTGCAGCAGCAGGATTTGACACTGAATATTTCAGAAAGAAATGCCATATTTAATTTGAGCGCATTGTGTGCGAGGGGCAGGAAATCACAAGGTCTTTTATGTTCGACCTGCTCCTTTTCAAACAATTGTTGAAAAATTGCACGTTGGTTGACATGACTTTTATTAGCTCTAAATAAATAAACATTATGTGGGGAAGGAAAAAAAAAAAGGTTTGCAACAAAATCGCTGGTGGCAAATCTATTGGCATGATCAACACCAGCACCTTTTTTACAAGCAAGGCTGCTTTGGACGGTTGTTAGCATTTACTGGACTGGGCTCAGGAGATCAGAGCAGATCAGCAGGGATTCTTTCACAAGCGCAAAGAACCCACTCAGAAAGAATAACTCAAATCTAAAGAGAAGAGCATCAAAGACAAGGAACAGTGACCGGAAATGTTTTCCTGCTGTGAAGGAACAACGGGATGCTTTAACTGCGAGAACTTCACAGATCCTTCATCTGTGACAGGTGTTGTTTTCTCTCTCTCTCTTTCTCTCCGTTTAGGTACACTAAGATGAAGACAGCCACCAACATCTACATCTTCAGCCTGGCCCTGGCGGACGCCTTGGTCACCAGCACGCTTCCCTTCCAGAGCGTCAACTACCTGATGGGCACCTGGCCGTTCGGGGACATTTTGTGCAAAATGGTGATGTCCATCGACTACTACAACATGTTTATCTCCATCTTCACTCTCACCACCATGAGCATCGACCGCTACATCGCCGTGTGCCACCCGGTCAAGGCGCTGGACTTCAGGACGCCGCGGAACGCCAAGATCGTCAACATCTGCAACTGGATTCTCTCCTCGGCCATCGGGATCCCAGTGACGTTCCTGGCCTCCACTGTCACCAGTAAGCACGAGCACGTGTTTGTTATGAGCAAAGACACTCAAAAGGAACATAGGAAGCTTTATTTGAGACCGAAGGTATCTAGACAACTGGTTATGTGTGTCACGTAATTTAATAAGTGCTGTGGACTCTTTCTGGAAGCAACAAATAAACTTAAGATTGTGAAATTGCGTAGAAATGTACTTGAAGCGTATAATATTTTATTGCAAAACATTTATTTTGGAAAGCTATTAAAAGATTTTAAAAAATCAAATCTAAATCCAGTAGTAAGACCAATCCCGGAAAAGCTACGATACACTAATATTTGGTGGCTCTGCAGCTACTTATTTCTGATTAATGAATAAATTAATCTGCCTTTCCCACATCTTGGCCTTACAGCAGTCCTACAAGCTCACCCACGATAATGCAAAACTAGGTCTGCAGATTAATACTGTGAGGAGAGAACAGAAAACCTGGTGCAGTAATTACATTAGATGAACTCTGTGTTTTACCAACAGCTTGTCTGGCTGAGAGACATTTACTGGACATAAAACCCACAAACTCTTTGACTTCATCCCCAAAGAATTTGTGTCATATAAAATGTGCAGAGTGTTATTGGCTGGAATGTCACCAGGTATATTTCTCAACCCGTTTCTGCCTTTGGTTTGGGCAGGATGGCCAACAGAGTCTGACTTTGAACAATGAAACCCTCCAACACAACAAACTTGACAGACGTTACTGAGTTTGTACAAACTTCTCCTTGCAATTAATCGTTTAGTCGTCAGCATCTTTCTCAAAGTTAGGTCTGTCACAATGATCAATAAATCAATTCAACGCATAACAACTTAAAACAAACTCAATAATTTCCATTGGCATAAATTATTGTTTATCTCTTTTTATCTCTTTTTTTCTCTCGCTTTCTACCAAAAACTGGATGATAAAAGTCTTAAGTTTGGTGTTTTGGTCTCAACTAGCCCTTATTTGGAAGGACAATTTTGTTTACAGAGACCTCAAAATAAATTTTATTTCACTTTATTTGCTGTCAAAATTCATTTTATTCATTTTGGATGTCTCAAATGCCTTCCAGTTCCAATGTTATATCAGAATTTGTCAGGTAAGGAGTTTTAGAGAGTCGAGGCGAACCAGTAAGCGGACGGCGACGTGGCACCTTGCAGTTCACTTTCTCCTATTTAGACACTAGTGGGCAGTTCACAGGTGACACCAGGTGAGACACAGACAAAGACAAGAATCCAGCAAATAACAAGAAAATGAAACTTGTCTCAGTTGATGATTATGCAATGACGTAACTTAAAGGTTTAGCTCCTTTAATTATTTTCGTGGAAGCGTTGATAATCAAAAACAGTAAATATAATGACTGGATAAGAGCAAACAAAAGGCTCATAAATGACAAATTTATGTTGGCTAATAACTGTAAGCACACACTATTTTGAACCGATTAAACAAGGCCTTAATGAGCGCCCCTCTAGCACAAACATCGGTGCGAGATCTAGTCGTCTTCATCTAAAATATAGATTTCATAGGAGGCCGTTCAGCATGTGAACAGTTGCTCGGTGGCATAAAATGAGCTTCTGATGTTTCCGCATTTAATGATTCAAGCTGAAGTTCCTTTTCTGAGAAGTGCTTGAATCAAGCTTTGTTGAAACAAAACAAGCAATTATAAGCCTTTAAATTGACCAGGAGGAGGAAGAAATGTTTCATTCACTGTATTCATATTTTATGCCACAAAGTGCCCCAAGATTACTTTAATGTCTTTTTATTTTTTACTGCAGATATCAAGCCTTATTGGAAATAAGGCTCAATAATTGCACATTATTATTTATAATGCATAAGATCATTTTTAAATACGCTCTTCAAAGAAAAAGTTGGTAAATACGTCTATTATTCTTCACATTCGCAGGATATCCATCCTGATGTTTCTGTATTAACAACTAATTACAAATCAGATACAAAAAGATTTAGATTAAAGCCCCTAAAACATCACTAGATATGTATTCTCAAAACTCAACTAAAAATGTAGTACTTTATGTTTTTTTTAATGAAATGACCCATTCGTCGTCTACAGCAATTGATCATTAGGGTCATAGGGTCACTGGTGCCTATCTCTGGGGCTCAGTGGGTGAGAGGCGGCGTACACCCACTCTCTTATGAGAGACAGGAAACAGGAAAGCTGCATAAATAAGAAGGGAAAGTAGCTACAGCTGTTTTCATCTCACTTCTAATTTACAATTCAATGATTCCTTCTGCAGAATTTCAAATAAGCCAGCAGCCAAAGTGTCAGCCGGAGTGCGCTCAGCGGTTGCACAGTGTATGTACTCTGGAACTGCAGTGCCTCCGTTCACCAGTGGAGATTAATGTCCCCTTAAAGGTGGCAGAAGGGTGCAGGGGTCCCCAATGTAACAGACACTTCCTTTAGTTAACATGATGTCATGTGTTCACACATTGAAACTTTTCATCTGCCTTCTCCTTGTTGCCTGTACATAGTTCAGTTTTCCGTGGCGTCTCAACACAGCCGAAGAACAATTAGGAAAGTTCTGCATGCTAATTGGTCCACACACTGTAATGTACAGTTCTCAGAGGCCCAAAGAAGCAAACACAGCAGCCTACGTACTTAATCTTAAAGTCAAAAGGTCCCAGCAGTAACAGAGGGAGAGGAGTGGCTGCCACGCAAAAGAAGAATGAACAAACTTTCCTCTCCGGTGCAGGTGTTGGATGGATGAGTCTCCAGGCTCCACCAGGAAAAGTAATTAATAGAGGAACAGACATTTAAAAAAAAAGAAGGGAAACTTGCCGGGTAAAGATGAATGTGTCAATGCAGTGGAAGGAGTGGAAGTCAAATGCAGTCTTAGAGGAATTTCACAAAAGTAGAGCAACGCACGATATGATGGATTGTCCAATGTAGTCGAATCAGGACAGGGTGATCAGGCCAGTCCTAGTAATAATTGGTTACTGTATTATGTTTTTATGGTGTGAAGCGCTTTGAATTTGGAATTTGCTAGAGAAATAAACTTGACATAACGAGCAACCTGATTCTGTGTGGGTTAACATAGCCCAACATCTAACATTTAATTTAGATTTGTCCTCTTGTTGCTTCGGCATCATTAAACTTGGACGGCAAAATCACTCCGAGAAAAAAAGAAATGGATGATTTAACCTTTTCTGCACTCCTAAGAGGAGGATCCAAGTTTACAAAAAATTCATTCAAGGGCTAAAAAAGTGCAACATGCCCCCTTCAGAACCAGGTGAAAAAGTATTTAAGCATATTTGTCTTTCTGCTCAGACGCCAACATTATCGACTGTAAGCTGGACTTCCCCAGCCCTGCATGGTACTGGGAAACCTTAATGAAGATCTGCGTGTTCATCTTCGCCTTCATCATGCCCATCCTCATCATCACCGTCTGCTACGGGCTCATGATCCTGCGGCTCAAGAGTGTCCGGATGCTGTCGGGCTCCCAGGTCAACACAAACGTTTTTGATTTTCTTTGCATATTTAAATGTTCTTCGAAACAAAACTCAGATCTCACAGGCTCATGATTGCATCTGATTGGAGGATTGGCTTCCATCTCATTAATGGACTAATTATATTTTAAAGAGTAATCAAGCACAATGGTAGACTGCCTAGAGCACGCCTTGAAATACAGTCCACTCAATAAACTCCAGATAAAACAATTAGGTGAAATCAGCTGAAGCAGGAGGCTGTAATTAAATTTTGATTACATGCTTAGCACTCACCACTCTCGCCGTCTGAAAGATAACTTGGCTCCTGTGTTTTATATAAAAACTTTGTCAAAAAAAGAAGAAGTAATTCATAAAATCTTTGTGATTGCTTCAAATGTAGTGATTTCTCCGTGACGTTATCTGTTTTATTTTTTATTTTTTTGCTCCCATCCCAATGCGCCACACGAACCCGCACAGGAAAAGGACAGGAATCTTCGACGAATCACCCGCATGGTCCTGGTGGTGGTCGCCGTCTTCATCATCTGCTGGACCCCGATCCACGTCTTCGTCATCATCTCTGCTCTGATCAACATCCCCAGCTCCACCCTGCAGACCGTCACCTGGCACTTCTGCATCGCCCTGGGCTACACCAACAGGTACGACCCGCGCCGAACCCCCACATCTGTTTGCTGTGATCGTTTCTAAATAAGATGAGAGGACGCGGCGGTGCAAACCATGTTTTCATGCATTGCATATAAGGAAACATCACACATTGGTGCCACAGTAACTTCCAGTTTCTCTCCTTTTTTGAATTCTAGACGTTTAAATTTACCTCCTGTATTTGGTAAGGTTGTCTTTAAACTATATGACTTGTGTCTTGTTTACTCACAACGTTTCAGCTCTGTCTATTGGACTGAAATCAAAGCTAACTTTGTTATCCTCAAGTGACAGTATATTTACTTTATCTGTATGATTGTCTATTTGGAAGAACTGCTTTAGCTCAAGCTTTAACTTCCTGGTGATCAAGTTCAAAATGTCGCATTCTTGAGTGTAAAACAATATTTTGTAAGTGGCCTCATTTAATGACAGGATGTTGTTGTCAAGCTTTCCTGTTACTGAAACTCTTAAAAGATGGGGTCTTTGGGCCCCACTTGGTTTTTGCCCTCTGACCATTTCTCCCGCCCTTCCACCCCGCAGTAGTCTGAACCCCGTTCTTTACGGCTACCTGGACGAGAACTTCAAACGTTGCTTTCGTGAGTTCTGCACCCCGAGCGCTTCGGTGCTGGAGATGCCAAACTCATCCAGAACCGGAGCCACCAGCCGCAAGGCCCCAAGGCGTGAACACAACGGCACAAACACGAGCGAGAGATCCAATCAGCAGGTATCCAACTCCTCTGTGAGCAGAAATAAATCTTACAGATAAACCTTTTAAAGCTTTTATCCGTCTTTTCCTTTGCCTTTTGTTGGCACAAAGTCGGAAGTTTGAGAGAGACAAATGGAGGGGGAATCACCCGGGCGTGACAGAGAAATGCTTTTCTCCCTCTCTGCAGGTATGACTAGCCTTGGAGGGGTCGTCGGTGGACTCCCGCTGTTGCGGAGGAGCTGCCAACGACGATCTCAACTCTGAAGTCACGCAGGTCACCACAGGCCTATAATTAGTGCACGGAAACCACACAAGCAAGCCTCAAAACACAGAAACACGGCCGACACGGAAGAGCACAGATCACCTTCGCCGCTCCCAGCTTCTGTAGTTCTGCTGGAAGTTGGGTTGTAAACCTGCAACTTCATGCTTTGTGATTTGAAACAAATGATTCTGTTTTCATAGAAACAAGACAGTTGGGAGAAGAAAAAAAAAATCAAGAGTCATTAAAAGAAACTCACTTTTCTAGAAGGACGATATGCATTCTAGGTAGAAGTATTTCCCGGTAACAAGATAGAAGGATTGATTGATCTATAAAACCACTTTTACAGCCTGGTAATATGCTTCTTTCTGCCTTATTAATCCTAAGCTCCGGCCTTAGCTCTGAGCTTATCTGTAACGCTTTATGATGAGCTAACAAGTCAATTGTTTGCCTTTGTTCGTTGGCCTTCATGCCACTTTTCCTCCAGATGTTCTTTTGAGGATTCAAATGGCTGAAGATTGTTGGAAAGAAAGGGTTTGTGTTTGTCACTGCTGGAAGACTGCGGTGGTACTTTGGCCTTCAAAGAGACTTCACTGAATGGGAGGTGAAATTCGGAACGATTTCCCTCCGCTGCGCTTTTCAAAATGCCTTTGTACAGCTGCGGCGGGGGAGGGCACCTCGCCTGAGCAGTGAACACCGACCGCTCCGGCTTCAGCCACTTCAGGGCTGCGCCGTCCGTCGCCGTAGTTATCCCCATTTCCTCGCCTACGATTTCACCGCGGTGGACGAATGAAAACTGTGAATTGTACGCTCTCCTTCTACGGAACCGGAGAAGTTTCCGAATGTACATAAAGGGAACCATTTGTGTTTGTTGCAGTGGATCATTGTGCTCCAAACCAGCAAGAAGACTGTCTGTGCAGCCTGCACAGCACGCCATTTTAGTGCAAACACGTCTCTGCTGGTGTATGATTAGCCGCTGTTGGGCAGCTATTATATGAAGGAACTTAAAGATGGGCCAAACAGGAGCGTACAGGGCATTGTGTTATTTCTATGTAAATATGCTTGTGCCGACATGTTGTGTATCTACATGTGAAATGCCTTGTTAAGTCGCTCTGCTTGACATTCTCTAAACCATATTTTTTTATTATAAAGCTTTGTAAAAGAGGAAAAATCTTTCTAGATGTAAATTAGTGTAAGTGTTCATTTGCTGAAATATATGTGGTAAATGCAAAATCGTGACAATGATCGTCACCAAATGGAGATTTGTTTTTGCTTTTTTCCCAATCAGACGTGTTGGTAACTGCAAATGTTTTCAAATCGATGTTACAATGTGACAAACTTTCTGCTTTGAGTGAAATGCGTTGCATTTACTTTGCGCAGGTAATTGGTTCATTTTTTACTCGCACGGCTTTTCAGCCATCTGTTAAAAAAAGAATAAATGAAATGTCAATTGCAATTTCTCGCAGATGGCTGAAAACGTGACGGCTGCCACCATCTGTATAATCCATAAACTGTATGTTCAGTACTTTTAGACATCTAAGCTCGAAAAGGCAGAGTAGCAACACGTAGCGTTTCCAATACAAAGTTGTATTGGAATATCTACAATCTATGTCCCAAACCATGGACAGGGTCCTTATGGTAGGAATTATAAATATAAATGACGCCAGCTTTTAATATTTTTTCCCCCCCATCAAGTCTCCTGTATGCTTTTTGAACTAAACAAAACATGTCCTGCAGCATTTCTCTGTTCATGCCAAACTATCTTTCAAAAAGCATTTTTCAAACAATATTTCAATTCAATTTTTATGTTCATTCCCTCTAAAATTTCATGCTTTGTTTCCACTAGAAGAAGACGTTTGCTCAATATCCACCTTTGTCGACTTTATTCAATAAAACTTCTATTCAACAAGTAAAGTGCTCAGACTTTTGCATCCCTAACGAAACATGTCGATACTCTATAGGACCAGCTTGAAAAGAGATGTTCTTTTCTCCAAGGGAAGCAGGTAGAGCAGAAGGGAAGTGAGGGGCTCTCGAGGGACAACATGCTGCTTTCATTTGGCCAGTGCTTGCTTTTTGAACAATTAACCCCTAAAATGTCCTGCTTATTAGGACATAATTTAGATGATTTACAAAAAGATACAAACAAAAATGGAACAATAACAATAAAGACGATTCTCCACATGGAGCTGTGATTGCCGCTCACAAACACAAAGCCACAGATTACAGTTACAGGCCTGCTGCTTTCTGTGAATAGTCCAAAATATAACATTGTTCCTCAATTATTGCTCCTGTAATCAAACGCACAGACCTGAAGCTCGAAAGGCAGCAGAAGCTGCAGGGCAGGAAAATAACGCAACGATGTTGCATTTGCATTTACGTATGGCACAAGGAGGACAATGACTGTTCATTTCTGAGCCGTTTCATGACTTGCTATGTTGTCGTAAATAACTCGTCCCGTGACTTATTCCATGCCACGTGATCCGGTTTTCAAGCTGCATGTAATCTGTTGTCCGGACGCTGGTGTCTCGTTAATAGATGCCATTCTAAGATGCTTTACTAATATTATCATGGAGAAGAAGAGAAACTGTAAATGTCACTGAATGTCTTTGTTTCTTGCTCCTGAATAAACGATCAGCTGCTCTGAAGTCTCAGCTTTTGGTGTAAATTCATGAACGATGGTCTGCTCTCGGCCAAACACACGATAAAAAGACACATTCGTCTCTGAGCACTGAGACATAAAGACGGATAACAAAGAACGACATCAAAGAGCCGTGGAATATATAATACATTATAGGCAGTGATGCTGTGGACTGAAGCAGGTAAAAAAAAATAATATATATATATATGCATAGAGAGAGATAATAGAGTTGAGGACAGAGTGAGGTTCTGATAAAAAAAAAAAGAAAATAAGACAACTGGTAAAAACTGTTGCTTTCCTAATTTGAATTGAATTTATTTTTTGTGAGCTGAAGACTCAAGTCAGTAGAAAATAACTTCATTTCCAGACCAGTGTGTTTCTGCTTGCGGCAAGAAACGTGTTTCTCCTGAGTCGTTTCCTAGGAAGGGTTGGAGTCTTCACTTCAATACTTCTTCAATCCTCTCCTTGCAACCTGGGAGTTGGTGAAGCTGTGTGAGAAACTATTTGGTTCTAATTGAATTGATTTTGCTGGGGGAAGATCACAAAGTAGCTTGTTGCTTTTTCCCCATTTTCTGGTTGAGGTTCCTGGAAGACAATATCCTGATTTCGACTCTTTTCTTTCCTTTGACTATCTGAAACTTGAATGTTAACAATTTTTAAAAGATTCAAAGTCGGACTGGCTCGTCTGTTTCAGATCTGAATCTCAAACCCCAGTCCTGCGTTATTCAGATGCGTCTCTGATCCAACAGACCAGAAGCAAGAGGCTGTACACCTTCTCAGTGTAAAGCTTCTTTCCACATAGTCCAGTGACCAAATTATTTGACTACAGTGTATTGAGGAAGAGACATTCTTAAACGTCCTGGGATTCTGGTCGTTGACCCAGGACTCCCCTGTCCTGGGTCTTTCTCCTGCTGCATTAACCTGATGTCCAAAATTGGTGGTCAGACATTTTCCTCTAGCATTTTATAGGAGAGAGCAGAAATCACAGTGGCATCAAACACACTTCTAGAAACGGCAAGGTGGTCCCAGATCATCACACCACCTCCACATTAGGTAAGATGTTCCCATTTTCGTCGCAGCCTCTGAGCCGGACTGTGACTCTCAAAAGTGAATATCTGCGTATCATCGGTGCGACAAGATCTTGTGTCCAGATGAGAGTCACACTGATTAGTCATGTTGCCAATCTAACACTTTACTTCGGATGGATGCTAATGTTAACTAACCCTAAAGTTTAGATGACAAGTATTGGAAATTGTAATTTTGGACAAACTGGACAAGATTCAAATTTAAGCTTTTACTTTTGAAGCACTTTGAATTGCCGTGTCGCTGAAAATGTGCTATAGAGATAAAATTACCTTACTGTGATTTGCTGGCAGACCATATATTGTAATTCAGAAAGGAAAGGACAGAGCTCTAAGTATGAAAAAAAAAAAAAAAAACGAGACGAGACGAGAACACAATTACACACATGGACATGCAATAGCATTTCAATCGTGTTCCCAGAAGTGAGAAAAAGCTTTTCTCACTGTTCCACAATAGACACAATTATTCAAAGACTGAACAATCATTTCTGAGAATTTCAATTCTGTCCTGAAAAATGACAAAAATAAACCTTTTATACGCTCAATATCTCAAGATCCTGTCTGCGTTTTTGGTCCAACTTTTAACATCGCAAACAAAGCCGGGAAATCTTTACCTGAGACGTATGGATAGAGATAAAATTTCAAGTGAAATATTAAAGAATTAAGTTTCTTGTATTCAACATCAACCCAATGTTTCAGCTGGATTCTAACAGATCTGTCTTTGCGCTCAGTGTCAGAGCATGCGTCCGGCTTTGCACAGACAGACGCAGATGTTTCTCAACAAAAACACATTTTCAAAAACTTCTATCCAAGCCCTTTCTGCATGCAGCACACTTCAATCCATCTGCACAGATCTAGAGTTCAAAATCAGTGGTTACAAATTGTGCAGTTGAAGGTCACTCAATTTGAAAAGACCTTTAATTACGTCCTCTGTCGAGACTGGGATAATATCCGTGAAATAATTCACCCATTTTATTTGACTGGCATGCTTTGTTGAAAGCTTCATTAATTACTTTACAGAAAAGGGCAAGCTGAATGAAAACGTGTAGCTGCGTAGGTTCTACATTTTTAAAAAAATGTTTTTCACTAATTAAACTCCATAGAAAATCATCAGGCCCTCGTTAACACCTGCAAAGACATCCAGAAGGTTTCGGTTTTTATCCGCTCAGACGAAAGCGCTGTGCGTAATCTGTCTTTCTAACAAAGATGAGTTTTTGCATATTTCCCATTTCCATATCGCTAAACAGCTTTCTAAAATAGTATCTCCAGAAGAGCCTGAAAATAATAATTTAGTGCATTGAAATTTAAGGACTTCCAACTCTGCCTGTGTTTGCTGCTGCCATGGAGACGTACGGCGTCTCGTCTCATGAGAGCTGGCAGCCTGATTGTTCCTGTCACAGCGATTATGATCAGCCGCTCGCTGGCCGCGCGCCGCTTCTGCTCGACAGCGCTGACATTCAGACTTGCTGTGAAGGCCCTTTCCTCTTGTGCGGAGAGCTAATCGGTTAAGCCGATGATGACCCATGAAAGATTTGAGCTCAGTGATCTGGCGTTAAAAAGGTCAAGTGTCGCCCTGAGGGAAAAGTGGTTTTGAAATATATTAAGAAGGACCTTGTTATTGACATCCGGGTCGCCCAAAGTTTGCACAGAGATAAAAAAAAGAAAGACAAAGAGAGTTTAGTTTTTAGTTCACGAAACTGTGATGTTTTGTGATTGCATGTTGGAGTGCAGTAAGCAGACTGAGGAGGGATAGAGAGAAAGAGAGAACATTTAAATAAGAATAAAAGTAAAGGAATAGTTTCAAAGGTCATATGAGGATTTAGTTTTTAATAGTGTGTTTAGTTTTTGAATGGGTATTTTGGGAAGAATGTAATAAATAAAACACCTGAGCCGTACTCCAATCTTCCAGGTGGCAGCGATGCACCTTAGCTTGTTTTGCCGACCGCCATCACAATGATAGAAGAGGAGAAAGGACAAGAAAAAGACGAAGACGACGATGGCGACAAGGGAGAGAGAGGGCAAATAACTAACATCATCTAAATTGTGCATCTAAAATAAGGTTGAGCAAATCACAAAAAAGGAATAAAGTAGATGGGAAGACATGCTAAGTGCAAAACAAATCCTCTAACAACGTTAGAGTTACTGAAGTCCAGTTATAAATACTATCACTCAGAAAAACACTGAAGAATTTGTAAGTCTTGATTTTCTAAACAGTTTTGCAAACAATGTCAGCAGACATCAGTTTTAAGGGCTTTCATAAACTTCAACTAAAGAGTCATTTCTGTCGTATCACACTGGCCACATGTGGAAATCAAGTCCAATCAAATGAATTCACCACTCAATTTAAGGTGAGGGAGCTTGACGAGGATGATCAGTGGAAACAGCTCAATTTTGAGCTACATAAACGACTTGTTTTTTTTATTTTTACTAAAAGCTTTTTTTGCTCGCTGCCGTAATGCGATATTTGTGTGTGTGAATTTGAGGAATTAACACAATTTGCAGTGAGGCTGTAACACAGCAAAATACTGGAAAAAGTGAGGAGTCGTGAATATTTTATGGACCACTGACTTGGGTTGTTGTTGCTGTTTTATACCATTCCTGCTGCTCTCAACTGTAACCTCAATAATAAAAAGAAAAAGATTTAAAAAATACCTAAAACCACAAATTATGAAGATACATTTAATATAAGATTTGATGCAAGGCAGGAACATGTTGCACGTACTTCGATCTTAAACAGCAGAGGCAGAAAGAAAATGAAATGTTTTGTTCACAGCTCTGCTAAACCTGATTTAAAGCAGCTGCAGATCAGCTCTGTTGCAGAGCAGTAAGTCCTGATGCTGATAAACGGCGCGCTGACCCTCATCTGCCAACCATAAAATTGTGACATAAAAAAGGTGGAGAAGGCGGCACAAAACTGCAGGAGCGGTGGGTGTAATAAGACAGAGTGTCAGAAAGTAAAGTAGCTGTGGGAAGCCAGCTGGTCCATCTTGAATCATTAAGCAAATGAGAGGAACGCCATTCATAGGCCTCTCAGTGCTGACCGGAAGACAACCTGAGTTTATCAGCTGAGCAACCAGCCTTGGAAGTAAAAGGCCCACTGGGAGCAATTTGTTTCAGCTCCATCTCTCTGACGGCTGGAAATATGCTCCAACTTACAGAGTGTGTGTTTAAATCACAGGAAATATCGCCTACACCATTTTTTTCACACACTAGGCTATCACTCAATGAGACGGTGTGGCACAGGCGCCGTCCCGTCAGGTAATATTCCCATCCATCCATCCGATTTCATTACCCTGGCCTCCCGCCGGTGGTTGGCTGTGCTGTTTGCACGGCTGCTCTCTAAAAGATAGGCTATCAAAGTTTCATTATCGCGCCTCTGCGACTACTTTTCCACCACAAGTACGGCCCTGCGAGACAGAGATAGAATATCTGTTTAGTGAATGGTGAATGGCACACACACACACGCACGCGCACACACACACACGTGTGTAATCTCCCTTCAAAGCTCACAGACCCTTCGATGCACTTCATAAATGTGTGACCTTTTTCTCCTGCAGGCCTAAAACCTCTTATTCATGTTTCCTGTCTGTGGAAAGAGCAGCTGGAGGGCGCAAAGAAAATTGAAAATGATCCGGCAAACTGCATGATCGCCTCTTCCTGTTGTCTAAATTTAAACATGTGTATGAGGCCGGAAATGTGCTTTTATGATTGCTTTGTCAGCTAAATGTTGCAACTACGTCTTGACTAATATTTCTGTGTGAAATACACTTTTAAAGAAACACTCATAAAGATCATGTTCTGACTTTTATTTTCTAATTTTCCTGATTTAATACGGGACATTTGGGTGGACTGACTAAAGGGACACGGGAGAGGATTTAATTTAAAGTCCCATATTAACTGTTGTCAGTTCACCCAAATGTCCCAT